TTCCTTCACAGCAGAAATCCAAGGATGGAACAAATATGGAGGTAGCCATCAAATTTCAACTATGTCATTAGAATCCATTGATATGATTGTTCCTTCTTTTTTTTTTTTTTTTTTTGCTATAGATAATGGTGACCCGCCAACGAAATAACTTGCGCTCGAACATCCCAGCTTTGAGGAAGCTTGATGCTATGTTAATTGTAAGAACTATGGGTTAAATCTACTGTTTTTTCTTTTGTTTCTGCTCCTTATATGATATTGGATTGTCCACAACAAAACACAGGAGTGTCTGGATAACTTTAAAGATCAAAATGAGTTCTACTATGAATCAAGAGGTGCTGATGATTCAGAGAAAGGAAATAACAAAAAGAAGCTACCAACAGTCAAAGTTCCTCCAAATGGTTTATCTGAAGCGTCGAGAAAGTTTCTGCAGTACCAGAAGGATTGTGTCAACCAAGTTCTCAAAGCAGCCATGGGGATAAATGCTCAAATCATATCAGAAATGGAGATGCCTGAAGACTACATTGAATCTCTCCCTAGAGTAAGCAAAACCGAGTATGTTCGGAACGGTTTCGAAACGAATCTTCACTCGAAATTTAAGTTTTGTTTATGGTTTTACAGAATGGAAGGGTAAGCCTAGGGGATTCCATCTACAGAAGTATAACAGTTGAGTTCTTTGATCCTGATCAGTTTCTTTCCAGCATGGACTTAACATCAGATAGTAAGATCCTAGACCTCAAAAATAGAATTGAAGCTTCCATAGTGATTTGGAAGAGGAAGATGAACCAGAAAGATGGAAAATCTACCTGGGGTCCGGCAGTGAGCTTGGAGAAGAGAGAAATTTTTGAAGAGAGAGCTGAGACCATCTTGCTTATACTTAAGCACCGCTTTCCTGGCGTCCCACAATCTTCACTAGATGTCAGCAAAATTCAACTCAATCGGGTAATAGAATGCACCTTCCTTGTCTATAATCTCATCTGAAATCATTAAAATTTGTGTGTGCTTGTTCATCTCAAGTTATGTGTTTGCTAACCTTTCTGCAGGAGCCTGTATTTTGGATTCATACTCATAAACCACATTCTATACTCCATACTATCCTTTATAAACCATAAGCCCACCAGTTCAACAAGCTTAAATTTCTATAAGCTAGTCCTATTCCCCACCCCAAAAGAAATCTATAATCTATTACGTGAGATCTCACATCAGTTGGAGAGGGGAACGAAATATTTTTTATAAGGGCATGAAAATTTTTCCCTCGTAGAAGTCTTTTTAGACGCGTTTTAAAATCTAGAGGGGAAAGCCCAAAGAGGACAATATCTGCTAATGGTGGACTAAGAGTATTACAAATGGTATCAGAGTTAGACACTAAGTGATGTGCCAGCGAGAACGCTAGCCCTCAAGGGGGTGGATTGTGAGATCCCACATTGGTTGGAGACACCGGGCGGTGTGACAACAAGAACGTTAGGCCCCAAGGGGATGGATTATGAGATCCCACATCGGTTGAAGAGGGGAATGAAGCTTGAACTGTTACAAATGGTATTAGAGCCAGACACCGAGCAGTGTACCAGCGAGGACGTTGGGCCCCCAACGGAGTGAATTGTGAGATCTCACATTGATTGGAGAGGGGAATTGAACATTTCTCATAAGAGTATAAAAACCTCTCCCTAGTAGACACATTTTAAATTCTTGAGGGGAAGCCTAGAGAAATCCCAAAGAGATAATATCTGCTAGTGGTGGACTTGACTGATAGATATTCCATTATACACATTTATAGAAACTAAAATCAAAGCTTCTTAACTCTAGGCTACATTAAACCCCTGCTTACTAAAACTCTTCCCAACATCTCCTAAATGACATGATATGTGTTTTTAGCCTATGTAATCAAGTACGAAATAACAATTCTATGTCCATTTCTTTGTCAGAGTAAGCAACACAGCATGTCCACCTACATTATAGCATACAGAACAACCATGTGTAAATTCCTAGTAAATCTTACCTGAAATCTTTCAAGATCAATCACAACTTACTCTTGCCTGAACTGCAGGATGTAGGGCACGCCGTTCTAGAGAGCTACTCCAGAACTCTGGAAAGCTTGGCCTTCACAGTCATGTCTCGAATAGAAGACGTACTCCACGCCGATAGCTTAACTCAGAATCAATTTCGAACAACATCGAGGAGGAAACCAATGAGCGAAACACCACCGGCAAAGTCGCCACGCCGAAGAGAAGATGCGATCAACAATGGCCCAGAAACGCCGACTTCAATGACACTGTTGGATTTCATGGGATGGGGCCAGAAACAAAGCGAGACGGAGGCAAAGAAGGATTCATCGAAGCAATCGGATGATCTAAACACGGATGTAGCGACGAAATAGAGGGATTCGTACCTGGAGAATTTGAGTGCCGCCAGAATTCCATCATCATTCATCCCGCCATTGAATAAGAGAAATGAGAACTTTTCCCTATCAATATTATCATTCAATGTATAGTCCTTTTAGTTTCATAAAAATGGTTTTCTTAGAGATTAAACCATAATTGATTTTCTAGTCATTTAGTTATGCTCGTATTTATTATTTTTTAATATAAATTTATTCCTTCAAAATATGTAAATTTTAACATAAATTTATTTTTAACATAATCGAGATAAAAAAAATGAAAATATATGAACAAAATGAATTATATAGACCAAAATAAACCAAAGTAAATGTTAATATTTATTTATTTTAAAATTTTAAATTAAGATTTTCAAGCTCAATATATATTTTTAAAAAATTAACTTTTAAAAAATTAAAAATCATTTTTAAGAATAGTCCAATAATAATATATATTTTTAAAAAAATAACTTTTAAATAATTAAAAATTATTTTTAAGAATAGTCCGATAATAAATATATATTTTAAAAAATTAACTTCTAAATAATTAAAAATTATTTTTAAGAATTCTCCAATAATAAATATATATTTTAAAATTTTAATTTCTAAATAATTAAAAATTATTTTTAAGAGTGGTCACGGAATAGGAAGATTTTTTTTTTAAATTAATAATAAATTTGTTTGATTTAACAAATTCATAAATTTTTTTTATTTATTTATGAGAGTATTTAATTAATCCACGGTAATAAATAAATTACAAGATTTGAAAAAAAAAATAATAAATAGAAATAAATAGAGATAAGAAAGGCAAATATCATCATGTGCTCTCCCACGCACGATTCCCCCTTCTCCCACACACGATTGGTTACCATGTGCTCTCCTATATTGGTTACCATGTGCTCTCCCACACACGATTCCCCCTTCTCCCAGTCATCTCCCTCACTCATTGGGCCAAAGAAAAAAATAAATAAATTAAATTTAAAAAAAATCCCAATCCACGGATTCAAAACAGTTCTCATCTTCGTCTTCAATTCGGATAACCCAAAAAGCCCTAAAAAATGTCTGCAACTCTGAGTCACTCATCCTTTCTGCAAATTCCTCCATTACAGAGGCTGAAGAACCTCTCAGTTTCCACTTCCTTCCTCCATGGCTCTGTTCCTCTGTCATTCCTCTCTAAGCCTTCGCCCTCACTATCGGCCTCCCAAACCCCCAATTTCCTCCCTTCGATAAGGGCCATGAGGTCGCTGCAAGGCCGTGTGGTCTGCGCTACCAACGACAAGACCGTCGCCGTCGAGGTCGTGCGATTGGCGCCTCATCCGAAATACAAACGGCGCATTAGAATCAAGAAGAAGTACCAGGCGCACGATCCGGATAACAAATTCAAGGTCGGAGACTTTGTGGAGCTTGAAAAATGCCGGCCGATCAGCAAGATGAAGACGTTCCTGGCCATTCCGGTTCCGGCGAGGAATTCGAAGCCGAAAGCGGCGGAAGCCGGTGTTGGAGAGCTCGAGATTCCACTGGAGTCGCAGCAACAGGTTTAATCGTAATCGGTTGCTTTTGGTGGATCTGATCTTGTTTGTGCTTGATGAATGATTCGTAATCGTTTTTCTGGATGTTACATCGATGAGACTGAGCCAAGTCGTTCTAATTTTAGAATCTTTATTCGAATCCTTTTTTGAGCTTTTCATCTCTGCAATTTGCTGTTCATACTCTCTCGATTCTTCCGTTTGGTTTAGAAAATAATTTGATTTTAATTTCATCAAATCGTCGTTAATTTTTGTTTAATTCAGTGGATAGATTATAATAAACTAAAATTTGAATTTCATCCATTGGAACCTTAAACTAGGCAAGTATAATCTTTTATGAACAAGATTCATCATATTTTGAAGCTTAATATTCTAATCTATTAATTATTCTAATATGCGAGAATCTATTAGTTATTCTAATATGCGAGAATCATATTTTGAAGCTTAATATTTTAATCTATTAATTATTCTAATTATTCTAATATGCGAGAATCTATTAGTTATCCTTAAATTATGTACATTGTCTAAAAATATTCATAAACTTTTAAATATTTCGATAATACTTTTCAATTTAAAAAAAATTAAAAAAATATAGAATTACTTCTTGATCATTGTATTAATTTAAAGTATATATACTTAAATTTTTAATAATGTTTCAAAAATACTTCAAATTAAAAATATATTTTTTACTCTTATAACCTTAAAAAAAATTAAAAATATATTACTATTGATATAGAGGTTAAAAAAATTATAAAATTTTAAAATAGCATTAACAAATTTTACATTTACAAAATAAAATTTTAAAATTTATTTGTTTATATATATATATATATTTCATAGATTATTTTTAAAATTAATTTTGTTTTTTTAAGTTTAAAGGTTATTTATGAACCTTTAAAGATGTTTTTTTTTTTTTTCTTTGAAGATTTTTTTAAAAATTGAAGTATTAACGAAACTTTTTAACCCTTAAAAGTTATTTTTGAAATATTTTTAAAATAAAATATTACCGGTTTATGTTAAAAAAATGTGGAAGAATATGTTTGATTTTTTATTATTATTTTTTTTAAGTTTAAAAGATAATTAATATTAATTTACACACATTTCACCTTTTCTCGCTTGGGCGCCTCCTTCTTTCTCCCGCCGTCCACTCTCCTCTGGTTCTCCTTCGCTTACAGTCGCGAACGACTGACGCCGATTCTCCGACTGAAGTCAGTTCTTCTTCAATCGCAGTCGTCACTCTCACCGGCGAGCACACGGCAGCAACAGATTAATTACGTCTCTCATCTCCAGCAACGGATTGGCTAGATCTCTCCGTCTCCAGCGTGACCTGAGGTTTAATCTCTCTATCTCTGGCTCTCTCTATTTCTATCCAACCACCGCCTCCTTCATTTTACGGCCGCCGGCGAATCTGTTTCGATCCCAAGTTTTCCCCCAAAATCCCAAACCGGTATAAACCAAACCGAAACAGATTGCGGTTCAAAAACTAATTTCTCTTTTTCCTGATATCGGTTCCGTTTTCGGCTTAAGAAAACCGAATCGATAGTCGTTATATTCGATCGAATCGGTTTAGTGGCTGCATTTGTTGCCCTAATGGTGGGAAACTGGGGCCTGAGTGAATAACGGTTTCCTTCAAGGTTTCTGTTCCAATCCTCGCTTCCTGAATTGCTAATAGCTTCATGTTGATGAATTGATTTTAACACCTGATACGGTGAGCATGTCAATCTTCGTTATTCTGAATCCTTATTTCCTTCTGTGTATTTAGCTGATATTATGCTCGAAAGGCTCCGAATCTAAGAAAATTGAGAACTGAACCATTTGGTCAGTTTGAATTCACAATTTTTTTTTCTTGTTTATATTTCAAAAATCTTACAGTATTATTTACTCCACACAAATGAATGATAACGATATTAAAAGTTATAAAGTACTATATAAAAGAATGACGAACCCTTGATTTTTTTTTTGTTGAAATTCCTGCTGTTTAAGCTAAACTCTTGAACTTTTGAGCAACCTTCTTAGCTAAATTCGGTATAAATTTCTTTTCCTTTTCATTTGATCGGTTCCACAGAACCCATTGAGAATTCTTAGTATTCTATATGAGGAAGAACAATGGGAGGTAGACTCGTAATGTTTAATTTTCCCTCTTTGTAGTTTTGATAAGATTGTAACTGGAACTTGATCTGCATTTTTTTTTTTTCTGACTTCTCGATGTTAATAAGATTTTCAGCTGTTTAAATTTTGAACTTCTAAACGTGATTTATCTTTAATTTTTTGGTATTTCGCATTCAAATAATTTTTTGGTATTTTCTTGCAATTGCAGTGCAGGCTGGTCAGAGCTGAGGTGCCACAGTGTCTAAGATGGAGAGTGATGCGGATGCTGTGAAAAAAACGCAGCTGGTGGAAGCCCGAGCAAGAAATATTAGTCACAATGTTAGGTGCATTGAGTGCGGTAGTCAATCCATTGAAGATTCACAAGCAGATATTGCGATTCTACTCAGAAAGGTACCAGTTATTTAGATTAAACTCCATGCTTAACAAGTTAACTTAGCCGGAAAATCAGGGAAATTCTGGGAAAGATTGATAGGGAAGTTCAAGAGTCCTTCTCTCTTGTGCAAAATTGTCCCTTTTTTCCTTTTAAAGAAAGAAAATATTTATATTAATGATGAAAAACAGGAAAAGCTCCTCATAAGAGTGCACCATATCAAGATTATAATAATAATTTAGTCCCGTGAAGAGGAGAGGAGGCCGTCTGTAACAGCCCAAGTCCACCGCTAACAGATATTGTCTGCTTTGACCCGTTATGTATCGCAGTCAGCCTCACGGTTTTAAAACGCGTCTACTAGGGAGAGGTTTCCACACCCTTGTGAGGAATGCTTTCTTAACAATCCACCACTCTTGAGGACCCAACGTCCTCTCTGGCACACCGTCTGGTGGTTGACCCTGATACCATTTGTAACAGCTCAAGCCCATCGCTAACAAATATTATCTGCTTTGATCTGTTGCGTATTGCTGTCAGCCTCACGGTTTTAAAACACATCTGCTATGGAGAGGTTTCCACACCTTTATAAAGAAAGTTTTGTTCCCCTCTCCACCAAGAAATCTTCCGTAGAGTTGTTTTGATGCAAGAAATCTTCCTTAAAGTTAGAAGATTACCTTCAAAATAACTATCTATGCTGGCAGCCCTTTGGAAATTCTCAATGCATATTTTTTGATAAACTCCATTGGATCATGAATGATGGACTAAAAGAACTGACCCACCAGATCATGAATCATTGCTACATGATGATTTCTCACAGATTTGTTGAGTTTTCTATCTTCTGCCAATAATTTTTGGATCAATGTTGTTTTGCAACAAACTTGCTTGATGTTCGTTTGTATTTGTAATATCACCATAGTTGATCCGTGACGAGATTCGGTCGGGGAAATCGGACAAGGAGATCTTTAAAAAGCTCGAGAATGATTACGGGGAGACAATCCTTTATACCCCAAAGTTCGACCTCCAAACTGCAGCATTATGGCTATCACCGGTCAGTAAATATCAGCAAGAAATTCAAATATTAAGTAAATATTTCTGCCCATTTCATGTAATTCTAGTTCTAAACATGTTACCTTGGAATATAGGTGTTAGTGGCTGGTGCTGCTGCAGGAGTATGGGCTTATAGTAAGTACAAGCAAAAGTCTAACGTTCATATCATGGCTTTGAATATAGTCAGGGGCGTTCCATTGACCCCTAGAGAGAAGCAAACCATGTTAGATCTCCTCTCACCTCCACCACCTCAGAGAGCCGCTTCTTTATGGTGGAGGAGATGGCGTAGCCAGTGAGGTAAATACTCTCCATTGCTAGCTCGAACAACAGTCCTAAGAATTTCAGAGTATGACACGAAATTTTGGCTCAAAGACAAGCAACACAAAATGAAGCAATGAAATCTCCTCATCCAAGACAAACCGAAAAACATGTTTGGTGGTCTCGTTGAATAATTTTTCCAGTGTCTTTTTTCTTTCCCTCATAGTCCATTTTATGTATAAATAGGTATATTTGTTCTTTCTCCTTCCATTGGGATAGTGATGTTATTGTTTAACTAGTTTGACATGGGTTATCGATCAAGATATTAAAAGTTTGAGTCACTCCTTTTATTAATCGTTGAATGCACAAGAAAGAAAAAAATATGTAAATTTCTTGAATTTTGATAATAAATGGTGACATTGGTTGTGGGTTCCTCTAAAATCTCCCGTAAACTCGGGCTCGTGTGGGACCATGTCGCCCGAGCAATCAAGTACGACTGCTCATGGAGCTTAGTTAAATAGAACTGGGGGTCACTCTGCTTTCTTGATGCATCCTTTCTTTCAAACGTATTTCGTAAACTCTCTTAACGATAATTACTAGATCATAAATGTCACCGAATCCTAACTCTTTACATAAAATACAAATTATAAGGATAAAACCCACAAACCCAATTCATAAAATTTCCTAATTTCCCTCGACAATTTTCGTCTTAATACTAAAAACCCTCAAAAGCCGCGGATTCTATCCTTCCATCCATTGACCTCCGACGAGAATCAAAGCATGTCAAACCAACGTGCTGGCATATGCAGATTGCGGGAGAAGGGAAGTCGGGCGGGCTGCAATTTCAACTCTCCAACTGGCGGCGAACTGGTCAAGATGCTTCGCTCAGATCAGAACTTCATTTAAATCCAATCATGCGTTCAAGAAAAGGGGCTACGCTGTTTTTCGTCAACTTCAAGAAAGGATTGACTATTCGTAAGTCGTCCCTTTCCTTAATGATGTTGACTTCAATTTATACGATAAACTTGGTTGACCCAACTCTGTTTTATTCCGTTTGTTCTTCATGATTGGTGAGTGGAATGATTCAGTTTGGTGGAGGGGGAAAGATTTTCACATTGAGAGCTTCTTTAAAGACCAATAGCTTCAGAAACATATTGCATATTCATCTTTGATTAAGGTACCGCTCTGCTAAGGCTCAGATGGATAGAAGCACAGGTAGTACTGGTTATGGTGGCAATACACAACAGGATCAACCTGGGTTCGCAGGCCCAAGCATGTACCAACCAAATACAGGTAGCCCAGCTAATAATTTTACACAATATGCTGAACCTGAGCTCCCAGGTCCAACTATGTATCAAGCTAATACAGTCCGTGGGACTGTTTGGAGCTCTGGATTGTTTGATTGCCATGAAGATGAGACTAATGGTTAGTTTTTGCTTTTGATTTTGTAACAATTTAGTCCATATCGTGAAAGTATTGGATTGATACTCGAAAATTCTTGTCTGCTAGCATGTGATCTGAAGATCCCAATTATTTGAAATGTCTGTGGAGCAGTTCTTTGACACATTAGTTTCTGTTTGACAGCGGTCATGACAGCATTCCTTCCATGCGTGACATTTGGACAGATTGCAGAAGTAATGGATCAAGGAGAAATGAGTAAGGACTTTCTTTTAACCTTGAATTTGTGTGAGATCTGGTGTCGGTTGAAGAGAGGAACGAAGCATTCCTTATAAGGGTGTGGAAATTTTTCCCTAATATCTGTAAGACCAACGGCGATACGTAATTGGTCAAAGTGGATAGTATCTACTAGTGATAGGCTTTAACTGTTACAAATGAAATTAGAGCTAGATATCGGGCGGTGTGCCAGCAAGGATGTTGGGCCCGAAAGGGGTGGATTGTGAGATCCCACATCGGTTGGAGAGGAGAACGAAGCATTTCTTATAAGGGTGTAGAAACTTCTCCCTAGCGGACACGTTATAAAACGGTGAGGCCGATGGTGATACGTAACGAGTCAAAGTGGACAATAGTGGCTAGTAGTGGGCTTGGATTGTTACAAAACGGTATCAAAATTAGACACCGGGTGATGTGCTAGCGAGGACGATGAACCTCTAAGGGGGTGGATTGTGAGATCCCACATCGGTTAGAGAGAGGAATGAAATATTTCTTATAAGAGTGTAGAAACCTCTCCCTAGCAAAGGTGATACGTAACAGGTGGATTGTTATTTCCCATTCTCTGTTTTTCTCATATGATTACCATTTCATAGCTTCGATTTGTGTTAAAAGTTAAATGAAGGTGTTGTATGTTGCTGATATATTTGTGATACTCATTGCAGCCTGTCCTTTGGGGAGTCTTATATATGCTCTGATGATGCCTGCTTTGTGCTCTCAATGGCTGATGGGGTCAAGCTACAGAAAAAGACTGAGAGAGAGATATAATTTGGTAGAAGCTCCGTATACTGATATCATTTCTCATGTGTTCTGCCCATGTTGTTCACTTTGCCAAGAGTTCAGAGAGCTCCGGAAGAGAGGACTTGACCCATCCTTAGGTACTTATCCTTCTTTCAATTTTATTTATGAACTGTATTACTTGTTGAGGAACTTTGTTAAGCATTAGCAAAGATCAGTTTTGCTCCCCCATGATATAGCTTTTTGCCTGTCAAGTTAGTGAGATCCCATGTCGGTTGGGGAGGAGAACGAAGCATTCTTTATAAGGGTGTGGAAACCTCTCCCTAGCCGATGCGGTTTAAAAACCTTGAGGGGAAACCCAAAAGGGAAAGCTCAAAGAGGACAATATCTGCTAGCCGTGAGTTTGGGCTGTTGCAAATGGTATTAGAGCTAGTCATCAGGCAGTGTGTTAGCGAAGACGCTGGGCCCCGGAAAGGGGTGAAGCGTGAGATCCCACATCAATTAGAGAGAAGAACGAGTGCTTGCGAGAACGCTAGGTCCTGAAGGGAGTGGATCGTGAGATCCCACGTCGATTGGAGAGAAGAACGAGTGCTAGCGAGTACGCTGGACCCTAAAGGGGGGTGGATGGTGAGATGCCACATTGGTTGGGAAGGGCGAAACATTCTTTATAAGGTTGTGGAAACCTCTCCTAGCAGACGCATTTTAAAAACTTTGAGAGCGAAGCCCGAAAGAAAAAGTCTAAAGAGGACAATATCTGCTAGCGGTGGACTTGGACGTTTACAAAAACTCTGGTCGTTTCTTCTCAATGTCATTGGGACTTTGAAGGCTGCCATGTTATGCTTAGTTCATTCGTAAATGAATCTTACAAATCACCTCTACCGACTACTAAGTAGCTCAGCTTATAATAGCTTACGACAAGGACATGTTTTCGAAGTGGTATAAAACAGGACAAAAGTGATTTTAAATGTTTTATAATCACTCCCAAACATGTCCTAACAGTTAAACTTGTGTCGTGTGGCAGTTTGTGTAGCTTTAAAAGCAGTGTGTCGAGATGTGAGCTATTAACTTATGAATGATTATGTATATCCAACATGTCACGTACAGGATGGAATGGAATTTTGGCTCAAAGACAGGCAGCACAACATGAGACAGTGGATGTTCCTCCTCCAAGACAAACCATGTTTTAATCATCACCTGAAAACATGTCCCAAGTTTTCTCAACTTTCAATTATGTGCTTGGTCCTGTTTTTTTTTTTTTTTGTTCTTTTCCTTTTCTTTTCTAGTTAAGTTCGTAGATTCTTGTTATTTTTACAAATGTATGTTTCTTTTTCCCCCTCCAAATATTTGATAATTGCCATAGTGCCCTTGTTTTCTATCTTACAAATGTATTTGAATGCAATTTTTAATTTAAAGTAGATCAAATGTTATTATTATTTTCAACGAATAGTTAATAAGATTACCGATTCCGACATATAAACGTCACTTGGTGCTCCTCTTAGAGGAAATGGATGAATTTTTGTTGATGGATGAATCGAATTTTATTGATCGGTAAGGAAGAGTACTATTCATTCTCTTCCACTCCCTTTTTCATCTTGGTTGGAACGAATCTTTGCGAGACCCATTTGAGGTAGGTTAAATAAACATCTCTATATCAAACTCTTCAGATTTTTTTTTTAAATTAAAAAGGGTAACTGATTCGTTCATCATTCACGAAGAAAGTCCAACAATATAGGGAGTGTTTCGATTATTTAAATTTCACACACCGATAAAAGAAAACGAGATGCATGTTGTAATGTTGAGTGGTCCGAGATCAAACCATGATTTATTGCAGCACCAAGGTGTGTTGGATTATGGCAGAGAGGGGCTGTTCAAGCATCAGAGTCGCCCCATTCATCAACTTTTGCGGCCACAACGCCCACATTTTTCATGTCAGTGATATTATCTGTGTTTTTTACCACCTCAAAGCGTTATAATCTATGAATTGTTGTTAGAAATGGAAAGGATTTAGAGTAGAAAGCTCACTTACCCTGATGGATTTTGGGAGTGGCAGCTGCCGTTGCATCACTAAGAAGAGTGATTGAATGGTAATCCAAAGACACAGCATCAAAAACTGTCTGTCTGATACAGTTTGGCGTTTGAACACCTACAAATTCAAAGGGATACAAGATATTCATACTCTAAGGATGGAAACGGAAAATATAATCTCAGTCCTCGTTTAGCTAACCGTGGTACGTGGGGTTGGGGACGGGAAATATAGTCTCAATCCTCGTTTAGCTAACAGTGGGATAGGGTGGGGGAACGAAAAGTATAATCTCAATCCTAGTTTAGCTAATGGGGTGTAACAGTCCAAGCTCACCACTAGCAGATATTGTTCGTTTTAACCCATTACATATAGTTCCATATACTTATAAAGAATGTTTCATTCTCCTCTCACCAATGTGGGATCTTACAATTCATCCCCTTGGTAGCCCAACGAACTTGTTGACACACCCTCGATGCCTTAATACCATTTGTCACAAGCCCATCGCTATTATATATTGTCTGTTTTGATCCGTTACGTATCGTTATCAGTCTCATAGTTTTAAAAGCATGTGTGCTTGGAAAAAGTTTTCATACCCTTATAAGAAATGTTTTGTTCCCTCCTCCAATCGATGTGGGGCCAGCGTCCTCGCTGACACACCGCTTGGTGTCTGACTCTTATATCATTTGTAACAGCTCAAGTCCACTCCTAGCTGATATTGTCCGCTTTAACCTGTTATGTATCGCTGTCAACCTCACTGTTTTAAAACACGTAGAGAGAGGTTTCCACACCCTTATAAGAAATGTTTCGTTCTCCTCTTCAACCGATTTGAGATATCACATGGGAAGAAGTCTCTTCTTATTTCCTCTCCCAGTTCTCATTTAAACGGAGATTCCTCGCCCGATTCGAAGTGAATCATTCATCCAAGTTAAATGAACATCTCAATCATACGTAAGAATCTTACCAGCGATAACCAAATCAGTAATACCCACACCCTGCAGAAGGGAATGCAAGTTAGTATCAAAGAAGGCACTGAACCTTGTCTTCACCAACTTATAATCTCACCTTGTCTTCACCAACTTATAATCTCCTTCTTTAATTTCAAGGCCTTCTACTAACTCTGCCCCTCTGCTTCCTTTTGCAGCTGGCTTTAGCTCCCCATTGCCATAGTAATGGCGGCGAAACCGTTCCACATCTCGTCCTTCACGATCATGCTCTCGGACAACCTACGACAAACAAAAAATGAACAGCAATCCCCGACAAGCATAAACCTAAAACAGCAGCTGCCAAAGCCTAGCTAGTAGATAGTCATTTTTGGACTTTCGTACAGACTTCCCTCAAAGTTGGTTTTAAAAAATCATTTGTCAGGCCGCATCGTTATCAACAAGAATGTTTTGTTCTCCGCCCCAACTAACGTGGGATCTCAATTATTACAAAAAGTATCAGAGTCAGACAACGAGCGATGTGAAGAAGGCTGAGTCAAGGACACTTGGCCTCAAAGGAGTATCAAAGGGAACAAGTGCCAACGAAGATGCTGGTTCCCGAAGGGAGGTGGATTGTGAGATCCCATATCGGTTGGGGAGGAGAATGAAACATTTTTTTATAAGAACGTTGAAACTTCTCCGGCCAAAATCTTAAAAAACTTTGCGGAGAAGCTAAAAGTAGAAAGTCAAAGAGAATAATATATCTGCTAGCTAGCTGTAGGCTTAAGCGGTTATAATAACAAACCCAGATAATGAACACGCCCCGCTTTCTTGCAATCTCGACTGCCCGATACACGCTTGGGAGTATGGCACGGGCTCCTGGTAAAGCGAATGCCGATCCTTCATCAATGAAATCTTTCTGTAGAGAAAGAATTGGAAGAAGGTTATGTTACAAATTATTAACCATCCTTACTTTACATCAGACTCTCTACTAACAATACTCAACCATTCTCTCTTCGAACAAAGGACACCATAGAGCCTCTTCTGAGGCCTATGGAGCTTTCAAATAGCCTCTACAATGGTATGATATTGTCCAATTTGAGTATAAGCTCTAGTAGCTTTATTTTTGGTTTCTTCCAAAGGACTCGTAACATTGGAGATGTATTCCTTACCTATAAGATCAATAATCGATGCGGGACTATTCTTCCAACAATCCTCAACAAGTTAATTGTGAGCGGGGAAGAGCGATAGGGATGTGGAGAAGGGAAAGAGAAAGAACCTGCATGTCAATGACGAGAAGAGCAGTGCGATTCCATTGATCCTCCATAGCCAAAAAGCTTCCGAAAACGGAGAGCAGGAGGGATGGGTTGGTAGTGAGTTTCTTGAAATAAAGAGAAAAATATTGAATTGAATAAGTTAGGGCTCAATTATAAAAAATGGGTGAGATATGGTTGGATTGGTCAGAATTTATTGTACAATATATTTTAAGATATTTTGAGAATTAAAGTTTTTCCCAAACATTTTCCCCTTTTATTTATTTTTTTAATTATTTAGAGATAAATTACTTTATTAAATGAAAATTTTATTATTAAATTTATGCAAAATTTAAAATAATAATAGTATTTTTTTTTTGTAGAAATAAATAAATAACAAAACATATTTTTCCCTTTTATTTATTCTTTTTAATTATTTAATGAATGGGAAGAGTGAAAATTATACATATTAATTATTTGTGAAATTAATTGTAATTAATTAAATTAACTATAATTTGAGTTGTTAATTTTTTATTACAACATTCAGTAAGGAATAAAATATATTTAATATGTCATAATACAAAATTAATGGAGTGGATTACAGCTCAAAAGATTGAAGATCAAGAAAATTAATTAAGGCTAATAAAAACAACCATATTTATTAATTAACAAAAACATCAGATTAAAATAATCCCTAATAATAATAATATTAATATTAAAAAGGATTAAATGGAGATTAATTAATTAATTAAATCAAAAGCAAGTTGGGTCAGGTAGGTGTGTGCTGGTACCAAACATAGCCCTCTACTCCTCAGCTCCTTCTCTTGCCTTTTCCTTTCTTCTCCCTAATAATAACATATTAATTTAATCTATTTATACCGTATAAAATAGAATCGATTTTAATTTTTCAGAAAGTAAACGTTCGGTAACTATTCGTGAAGAAAAGTAATAGAAGTGTTCGAAAAATTTGATAATTCGAAAAACTCGATTAGCCCAACCAAATTCGTATGATTTTAGTTGAATTGTGAACGGTTTCCGTTTGTTTGAAATCTGACCTACAAACACATGTACTAAAAAAATTTTTGAAATCTTGATAACTTAAAAATTGGATTCTATCAATTTTGACGATAATAACGAGAATATATAATAAAAAAATATAATAAGATAATAACGAGAACATTTTAAAAAATTTTAAAAACATTATTCGTCAATTTATGAAAATGTATGAACTTTGTCACCGAAAAGAAAATCGACCCATTTTAAATAAGCTCTCGAACATTAGAACCAAAAAGTCGAAATTTTGAAAAAAAATTAATAAAAAAAAGATTACTCGTCCATATTCATACAAACACTCTCGAATGCATGAAACTGTTTAAACTGTAGTATATACTTACAAGAGGCTGTGAATTCGTGAGCTGTTTTGGAGCACTTCGCAGATAAGGGTAACTGAGAGCATGCCGGTCAAAAAAAGTGAGATTTTACTGTGCCCCTTTTACCTCTCAATCTCCACTTACATAATGATAATAGGGTCTCTTTTACCGATCTTAAAACTGTAAATGGGTAAGAAAAATAGGCTTTTTACCTCAATTTGTCCGAGAAAATTTAAAATGAAATGAAATTTGAGGTAATGTGTAACGTAATTAATATCATTTATAAGATTTCAGGGTAAAAATGAAAATTTTTAAAACTTAGTGAAAGACAGTAAAACTTCGAGATATTTTATGTAATTTTAACGTGAACTTTAAATTTTACCTTTCCAAATGGAGAGACGATTTGGTGAAGAGTTGTGATTCGATCTACGAGCTTCTCCTTCCTCACCTGTTATTATTCGATCATAAAATTTTATATTGCTTCTATCGGTTCCTACAAGAAAGCTAATTCGTAAGCTTTAAGGTTGAAGTTTTGAAGTAAAATCTACCCTTAAAGGTGGTTGGTTTGAAGATGGCGGATGAATCCTAGCTTTCTTACATGCTCCACAGGCGACGACGGCGGAGCGATTCGACTGTTCAAGTAAGGGAGAGTGTTAAAACTTGACAACAAAAGCAAAGCCAAGGAAGTGGCTCACCTCCAACGAGTGGTCGGGGTCGGGGCCGCCACCGCCACCACCGGAGACGACACGGTTGCTCCCATGATCTGGGTTGTTACTATTACATGAAAAGTGAGCAAAGTTTGTTCAGCTAAAGAAGTTGTCCACCAATTAGGGTTTCCACCCATCATTT